AGAGAGGAAGGAAGAGGGAGAGAGAGAAACATTGATGTGATAGTGAAACATCAATCAGCTGTCTCCTGCATGCCCCCTACTGGGGATAAAGCCCATAACCTGGGCAGGTGCCCTGAACTTTTAGGAGTTGAACCAGCAACCTTTTGGTGCATGGGACAATGCCCAACCAACTGAGCTATACTGGCCAGGGCTAAATATATAGCCTGTTAGATGTCATAGAACAAAGGTAAACAAAACAAACCCATTAAATGGAAATGCTCACATATTCAGGGTTAGGAACTTAGTTTTGAATTAGACAATAGAATTAGATATAATTTGGGCATTGTTATTTTTTGGTTTACTTGAAGCAATAAGGGTAAACAAGCTAAATTATATTTAGAATGCCCAACATTTTTCTGATTTTGGGCAAGAATAACTGACCCATTAGCAGATACATTGTCTGTCCTCCAGGAAAAACATAGATTACAATATGTTTGTGCTGTAGAACTAAATAAAGTTAAATATTACTTGTTACAAGAAACTGAAGAGGAAAAATATAAACTATAAAATGGCAATAAATACATATCTACCAACAATTTAATCTACAAACAAAATGAGCAAGCAGATCAGAAACAGACTCATAAATACATAGAACTTTTTATTGCTTGCCAAATGGGAGGGTGCTGAGGGATTGGGTAAAGAAGCTGAAGGAATTAAGAAGTACAATTTGGTTGTTAGACTGATGAACCTCAAAGGGAAGGGGAGAGGGAGGGAAGGAAGAGATAAACCAAAGAACATCTATGCATATATGCATAACCAATGGACACAAACAATAGTATGGGGAATGCACGAGGGGTGTGGAATTGGGGAAGAGGGGGTCAATGGAGGAAGAAAGGGGGGACATCTGTAATACACTCAACAATAAAGATAAGTTTAACAAAATTGAAGAGGAGGGAAGTCTCCCAAGCTCATTTTATGAGGCCAGAATTACCCTGATTCCCAAACTAGACAAAGATATTACCAAAAAAAGAAAAAGAAAAATTTAGGCCAATATCTCTGATGAACATAGATGCAAAAATCCTCAGCCTTGGCTGGGTAGCTCAGTTAGTTAGAGTGTCATCCTGATACATCAAGGTTGTGGGTTCAATCTCCAGTCAGGGCATATACAAGAATCAACCAATGAATGCATAAATAAATGGGACAAATGGGACAAGAAATCCATGTTTCTCTCCCCCACCCCTAAAGTCAATAAAAAAAACAAAAAACCTCAACAAAATATTACCAAACCAAATTCAACAAAATATTAAAACGATCATACACCATGATCAAGTGGGATTTATTCTCAGGATGAAAGGTTGGTTCAATATCTGCAAATTAATTAAGTTGACATATCACATAAACAAAATGAATAAAAAAGATCATATTATTATATCATTAGATGCAGAAAAAGCATTTGATAAAATCCAGCAATGATTTACAATAAAAACTCTCAGCAAAGTAGGAAAAGAGGGGTCATACCTTAACATAATAAATTATATATATTATGAATCCACAGTTAACATACTCAATGGGGAAAAGCTAATAGCATTTTCCTTAAGATCAGGAACAAAACAAGAATGTCCACTTTCACTCAACAAAAAGTCCTAGCCACAGCAATCAGAGGTGGGGAAGAAAAGAAAAGAAAAGAAATAAAAGGCACTCAAATAGAAAAACTGTAATTATTTGCAGATGACAAATATTCTATATAGAGACCCCTAAAGATTCTACCAAAATACTATTAGAACTGATAAATGAATTTATTGAAGTAGCAGATACAAAATTAATATTCATAAATAGATGTATTTTCATACACCAATAATGAACTCTCAGAAATAGAAATAAAGAAAACAATTTCATTTACAGCTGCATAAAATAAAATAACTAGTAATATATGTAGCAAAGGAGGTGCAAGACCTGTACTCAGAAAACTATAAGACACTGAAGAAAAAACTGAAGATCCAAATAAATGGAAACATATACCATAGTCATGGACAAAAAGAATTAACATTGTTAAAATGTCTATGATACCCAAAGCAATCTATATATTCAATGAAATGCCTATAAAAATACCAATGGTATATTAACTGACTAGAACAAATAATCCTAAAATTTCTATGGAGCCACAAAAGACCCCAAATAACCAAAGAAGTCTTGAGAAAGAAGAACAAAATTGGAGGTACTATGCTACCTGATAGCAAACTATACTACAAGGCTATAGTAATCAAAACAGCATGGTACTAGCATAAAAAGAGACACAGATCAGTGGAACAAAATAGAGAGCCCAGAAATAAACCCATGTCTATATTGTCAACTAATCTATGACAAAGGAGGTAAGAATGCACAATAGGATAAAGACAGTCTATTCAATAAATGGTGCTGAGAAAGTTGAATAGATACATGCAAAAATTTGAAACTAGACCATTTTATTACACCATATACAAGAATAAACTCAAAATTGACTAAAGACTTAAATATACGACTTGCAACCATAAAACTCCTTGAAGAAAACATTGTCAGTAAACTCTCTGAATTACTCTTAGTAATATTTTAGTAATATTTTTTTTTGACTATGTCTCCTTGGGCAAAAAAAACAAAGGGAAAAATAAACAAATGGGACTACATAAAACTGAAATGTTTTTGCACAGCAAAGGAAACCATCAACAAAATGAAAGGAACCTATTGAATGGTAGAATATATTCTCCATACACCTGATAAGGGGTTTATTACAAAAAATATAAAGAAGTCATACAACTTAACACCAAAAAAAAACTTAGGCAATCTGATTAAAGAATGGGGAAAGGACCAGAATAGAAATTTCTCCAAGAGGACATACAGATAGATGGCTAATAGACACATGAAAAAATGTTCACTGTCACTAATCATCAGAGAAATGCAAATTAAAAATACAATGATATATTTTCTTACACCTGTCAGAATGGCTATCATCAATAAACTGACAAACAACAAGTGTTGGCAAGGATGTGGAAAAGGGGAACCCTTATGCACTGTTGGTGGGAATGCAAATTGGTGCAGCCACTATGGAAAACAGTATGGAGGTTCCTCAAAAAATTAAAAATAGAACTATCATATGACCTAGCAAATCCCACTTCTGGGTATTTACCCAAAGAAATCCAAAACACCAATTTGAAATAATATATCTACCCCTATGTTCATTGCAGCATTATTTATAATAGCCAAGATATGGCAGCAACCCAAGTGTCCATCAATAGACTAGTAGATAAAAAAGTGATGATAAATATATATGAGATGGAATATTACTTGGTCATAAAAAAGAACGAAATCTTACTATTTGCAACAACATGGATGGATCTAGAGGGTATTATGTTAAATGTAATGTCAGACATAGAAAGACAAATACTATATGATTTCACTTACATGTGGAAACGAAAAAATTATATAAATGAACAACAACAACAACAACAACAAAATCCCATAAACAAACTCATAGATGAAGAGAACAAACTGATGGTTGCCAGATGGGATGAGGTTTGGGGGGCTGGGTGAAAAAAGGTGAAGGGGTTAAGAAGTACAAGTTGGTACTTACAAAGTAGTCATGGGGATGTAAAGTACAGCATAGGAAATATAGTCAATAATATTGTAATAACTATGTATGGTGCTAGGTGGTTAATAGTCTTATTGGGGGGATCACTTCTTAAGTTCTGTAAATGTCTAACCATTATGCTGTACACCTGAAACTAATATAACGTTGAATGTAAACTGTAATTGAAAAATAAAAAGGGAGTAAAAATTTGACTTTAAATATTAGTTTTTAAGTAGAAATTTCAAAAAGTATAGAGTAAAAAAGTAAAACTCATTCTCAAAAGGCAATTGCTTATTTCTAGTTTTTGTGTGTGTATCTCTGTAGAAATATTATATATATATATATATATATATATATATTCCACATATATGCCTTTAAAAATACAAGTTGGAGCCCTGGCTGGTTTGACTCAGCAGTTAGAGCATTGGCGCATGGACCAAAGAGTCTCGGGTTCGATTCTGGTCAAGGGCATGTACCTTGGTTGTGGTTTGGTCCCTCCCTGGCCCTGATCAGTGTCATGCCGAAGGCAGCCAATCGATGTGTCTCTCTTACATCAATGTTTCTCTCTCTCTCTCTTTCCCTCTCTCACTCTATCCGAAGATAAATAGAAAAATATCTTTGGGTGAGGATATAAAAACAAACAAACAAACAAACAAAAAACCCACAATAAATTGGAGCATATTATGTTCTTGCTAAAGAATGTATTTTGAAGATATTCTCCTATTATTAGATATTAAACTACCTCACTCTAACAACTGCCTAGTATTCTACCACAGGGATATTCTCTTATTTGTTTAGCCAATATCTTATTTGTGAATATTTCTCCACTGTTTACTTTCTTAATCAGTGCTGCAACAAATATATTTTTACATGTCTGTGCACAGGTGCAAATATATCACATTAATAAATTTATAGAAATGACATGGTTGAGTCAAAGGATATTAATATTTTTAAAAAACTTGACAGATACCAGGAAATTGCCCTAAAAACGTTTACAATCTCACCAATAATATGAAAGTGTCTCTTTCTACAAAACTTTCCATTAAGTGTTTTATTTTATTTTTATTTTTAATTCGAGAGAGAAAACTGTTCTAACTTTCATTTTTAAAAACTATAAGTACAATTAAGAAATAATACTTCTCAAAAATTATAATTAGTGATAAAACTGATAATTTTCTAAATTGTATCTGACTTTGGTTCTGTTTTGGGAGAGGGGTCCCAGAGAATTTCGTAATACGAATAAATTTACATTGATAGGGTTCTTACATAATGTGTAGTGATAAACTGTTTTAACAACAGGCAGTTTCATAGATAAGTTTCATTTTTTGAAAAAGGGGAAGAAACACCATTCTGTGGCTCGATGTGGGTTTGTCAGTTATTGCCTCCCCCCTTTCTGGGACTTCCCACTGTTCTTTAGAACAAATCAGACGAGCAAAACAACTCTTTTTCCATTGGATCAGTTATAAAAAAAAATGGAAATGCAACGAGCAGCTTGGTTTCTTGATTTTTAAGCAGTGACGGGTATACTCACCAAAGGCTTGTGAACATTTCTGGATACAGCACTAGCTGGCTTATTCATCTCTGTATGGTCAATTGTCGTGTTTCTGCAGGACTAAAGGAGCAGATTGGTTAGTGAAGGTAAGAAAATTAAACAACAGACCCTGTAATTGCTAACTTTTTCTGCCATTTCTCTTCTCATGCTTACTTAGTTCCTTTAACATCAGAACTCAGATCCAATCTTATGACATGTAAAATGCTTTTCTAGTTTACCAAATTAGAGGTGAGTGGGAGTTTAAGTAAACATTCAATGGAGTTGGTCAATAAAGAGAAATTAAGTCAAACACTTCCTTCTCTTACCTCTTCATGTTCACATTTGGGGCATTTCTAAAGTATTTTTTACCCCCCAAAATTGACTGGTCTGATAAAGTATTTATTGTGTGATTTATTCAGTGCTTGTCCACTAATTCCTACACAGGCTTAGCTTCTGTGTTTTTAAAAGAAGGCCAACTATGTTTTCATAAAAATAAAAAAGAATTAAAAAGGCTGAAAAAGACAGAGAAAGCATAACTCTTGAATTGTTAAAGTGATGTAGTTTTAGAGAGGAATACAATCACAATAAATTCCATTTGGATTTGATTTTCAATTATTCATTCAGTGAGCTTGTTATAAGTGTTTTTCTGCATAGCAGGACATATTCCAAGTGAATGTGATCTACAGTGATGATGTTTTTCGAATTGCCATCTGGGTGATTTGACGGAAATCTACTCGTTGGTATTAAAGACAGTGCTAGCACAGGTGGACTTTTGTTTGTATTCTCTTTACACTTGATCTTAGCCAAAAAAAAAAATGAGAAGGAATTGTGAGTTATTTTTAGAACTGTTCAAATATTCTTTTTCTTGTGCACATCTATTTGTGTTTGACTATAGACCTGGCTTGGCCAGAATGGTCATATGGATAGTTATAGAGCATAGTTTGTGTAGGTTGGTATACGAAGCTTGTGTTTTAGAACTTGAGAAGTTTCTTGAAGGAGTAGAGAATATTTAAAATTTGTATAAAACGTTCATATTACAATGGTAATTTGGGAGATATTAAAAGGTAATGCACTAATTCTAATATCGCTTTGATGCAATGTTTTCAATAGTTATTTCAAGTTACTGAACTATTTCCAATCACATACCTAATGATTATCTTATATGATACTGTCTCTCTATGCTCTTCACAAACATGACAGAGTGTAAATCTGTCTTCAATAGTTATCAACACCCCCATCCAATTTTTGTTGTGCAAAGTTTCCAACCTATATAAAAATGGAAAGAATAGCACAATGAACACCCATATTTCTATCACGTAGATAAATCAGTTGTGGCTATTTGCCACATTTACATTCTCTCTCTCTCCACACACACACACACACACACACACACACACACACACACATACACACAGCTTTTTCCTGAACTGTTCAAAACTATATTGTTGATTATATTGTTGACTTTAGGGTACATGACACCTCCAAATTTTGCACATGTATCTCCTACTAAAAAGGGCAGACTTCTTCATAATTATAATGCAAAGGAAACTTAACATCAATTAGAATCCTGTTATAGAACATATAATTAAAATTAAAATTTCCCCAATTATTCACATCTTCTTTAGAGTTTTTTTTATTTTTTAAATCTAGGATCCAATGAAATATCTTGCACTGCATTTGGTTTATATACCTACAATTAAATAAATGTTAACATTAATGAACATAATTGACAATATAATTAACAATTATAACACCAAAGAAATTTAACATCAGTCAATACTATTATGATCACATTTCTCATGTTTTTATTCACTCATTTTTTTGTCAAAATATTTTTATTTATTTATTTTTTTATATTTATTGTTGAATGTATTACATATGTTTCTCATTTTTTCCCCCATTGGCCTCCTCCTCCCTACTCTCGCCCCCCTCCTGCCTTTTCCCACACTGTTGTCTGTGTCCATTGGTTATGCATATAAATTCTTTGGTTTATTTGTTCCTATCCCCAAACCCCTTCCTTTTGAGGTTTGTCAGTCTAGCAATGAATTTGTACTTCTTAATCCCTTCGCCTTTTTCACCCATTCCCCTCTCCCCCTCCCATCTGGCAACCAACAAATTGTTCTCTGTATCTATGAGAATGTTTCTGTTCTGCCTGTTCATTTTCTTTGTAGATTCAATTGTCGATAGATATGTATTCAATACCATTTTGTTTGTTCACATATTTAATCTTTTTCTTCAAGAAGGCCCTTCAACATTTCATATAATAAAGGTTTGGTGGTGATGAACTCCTTTGACTTTTCCTTGTCTGGGAAACTCTTTATATGTCCATCGATTCTAAATGGCAGCTTTGCAGGGTAGAGTAATCTGGGTTGTAGTTTCTTGCTTTTCATCACTCTGAATATTTCTTGCCATTCCCTTCTGGCCTGCAAAGTTTCTTTTGAAAAATCAGCTGACAGTCTTAATGGGAACTCCCTTGTAGGTAACTAGCTGCCTTTCTCTTGCTGCTTTTAAGATTCTCTCTTTGTCTTGAACCTTTTGCATTTTGATGATGATGAGTCTTGGTGTGGACCTCTTGGGGTTCAACTTGTTTGGGACTCTCTGTGCTTCCTGGACATGTATGTCTGTTTCCTTCACCAAGTTAGGGACGTTTTCTGCCATTATTGTTTCAAACAGGTTTTTGATTTCTTGTTCTCTCTCTTCTCCTTCTGGCACCCCCAAGATGCAAATGTTGGCACGCTTGAAGTTGTCCCAGAGGATCCTTACACTATCCTCATTTTTTTGGATTTTTTTTTTTTTTTTTTTATTCTGATTGGGTGCTTTTGCTTCTTTATATTCCAAATCGATGGTTTGCTCCTTGGCTTTACCTACTCTACTATTGAATCTGTGTAAATTATTCTTTATTTCAGTTAGTGTCTCCTTCAATTCTGACTGTGCATCCTTCATTTCTGACTGGTCCTTTTTTATGCTCTTGAGGCCCTCACTAAGTTCGCTGAGGTTCTCACTAAATTCATTGAGCATCCTTATAAGCAGTATTTTGAACTCAGCAACTGTTAGGTTGCTTATCTCCATTTTTCTTAGTTCTTTTCCTGGGGGTTTTGTTCTGTTCTTTCATTTGGGACCTGTTTCGTTGTCTCCTTATCTTGGCTGCCTTCCTGGGTTTGTTTCTATGTATTATTTAACGAGAGGTATGGGGCTAGCTGAGACCAGATGCTGCTTGTTTGAAAGAATTTAGGAAAACCTGAAGCAGGATCCAAGACAGGCCAATCCTATAGTTAAGCAATTGGCAATAGCTTGGGTGGGCCTGAAAGTTGGGTGAGGCGGGGCCTCAGGAAGTCACCAGGGCGAGGTTACCAGTGTGAGCCAGGTTGCTGGAGTCCCAGATATGGCGGCTGTCTGCCACCCCAGGGAAGAGCTCACCGAAGGAACAAAGGCCTCTGACTAAATGTCTGTCCAGGATAAAGCCCCTTCTCCAGCCCTCGCTCCAGTGCCAAGCAGCTCAGTTCTTCCCTGTATGACTCTGGTGCCCCTCCAGCTGCCTCACCTCCAAGCTTAGAGGGAGTGAGTCCAACAAGTCTGTGCGTGGGCCCTTTCAGAGGAACTACCTCGGGCTCCAGCAGCTTCAGCCTCCCTGAGCCTCAGTTCCCGCTGGTTTTTCCAGCCAGAAGTTATGGGACTTCTCTTCCTGGTACTGGAACCCTGAGCTGGGCACCTGGTGTGGGACGGGGACCCCTCAGTCCTCAGGTAGCACCTTCCCAGCCGAGGTATCCTCCTAATTTTTATCCACCACACGTGGGTGTGGGACAAGCCCGTCCGCCTCTGCCCCTCCTACCAGTCTCAATGTGGCTGCTTCTTTAATTCCGTAGTTGTAGGACTTCCATTCAGCTCGATTTCAGGCGGTTCTGAATGATGGTTGTTCTGTAGTTTAGTTGTAACTTTGATGTGGTTGTGGGAGGATGCAATACCGCATTTCCCTACGCCGCCATCTTGACTGGAAGTCTTAAAATATTTTTAAAATAATGAAAAGAAATGATCATAAGCTTTAATTTTCTATTTGTGAGATATAAAGATAGAATATGAAAATCCAAACTATGAAAAACATATATTTATTAATATTTCTGCACTGGAATGTACATTTTCTGAAATAAGGAAATTTACATATTCAGATAAAGTGTTCGGAAGTAGTTGTTACCTTTGGTCATAAGGATCTAAGAAAAGTATTTACTTACTTGGTGATGGGAAACAGGCCTTTCGACTTATTACCTTAGCCATCAAATTAGACTCTCAGAAATTAATTTGTTAAGAAAGATTCACTTCACATTTGATAGGATAATCCCTAATTATATGTTTTGTGACAAGAATTTAAAAGGTACGAGTGATACTTTAGAGCATCTGTCAACAAATGCCACAAAAGATGAAATAATAGGGATATAAGACAAGGTATATGATTAAGTGAATGGTTATTTCCAGCTCTAAAGAACATGCACTTTCAAAGATAAGATTGAGGAAACTGCAGGATTCTTCCTAAAGATACCCCTTGTTTTGGGTAAAGTTCTCATATCATTTACTAAAAAATTTTAAAACATGTAATACAGATTTGGTTACAGTATTATAACTGGATTATGAACAAAATAATATTCAAGTTTTTCAATGATAACCTTTCAGTGGTTTATATGCAGGACCCCAAATCAATAAGCTCTTAAGAAAATGTAAATGTAGGTTGGAATTATGGAATCTAGAATTTAGATTATAGGGGAAATAGAGAAGTTAAGAGATGAAATAGAGTGTTTTGAGAATTTGAGGGTATTAAATAATATCTTGGGACCTGGAGAGCATTAGGCTAGGTGAAATAAGCCCATCAGAGAAAGACAGATGTCACATGATCTCACTTATATGTGGAATATAATGAACAAAAAAACCTGATGAACAAAATAGATCCAGAGCCATGAAAGTAGGGAACAGACTGACAAACCTCAGAGGGAAGGGGGGTGGGAGGGCGGGAATAGATAAACCAAAGAACTTATATGCATATAAGCACAACCAGTGATCACAGACAACAGTGCAGACGGAGATGGGGGGACTGGGGGGGAGGGGGTCAATAGGGGAAAGA